ATCAGAGCACGCACCACAGGGAGTCGAGTCTATCATCCTCATGCTCCATTTCACAGCACAGAGGGAAGCTGGAGGACACTTGAAAAGGGAAGCTTCTAAATAAAGCAGTCAGAGGAACGTTTGAAACTTCAGTGAAGTGATTTAACCCACAGAGGGAAGAAAACACCCTTGTCCCCTCCCCTCACCCCTCCAACCAATGATCACTTTCCTGCCTACCTGCTGTCCTATTGCTACTTTGTCTTCCTCACTCACATTTTGCAAACCCTTGCTGTGGACCAGTCCTCGCTGGGCAGGTGGAAATGTTCAGGGAAAGGGACTCCATGAAACACAGTTCCCTGCACAATCACAGCGTGTCCTGAGAGCTTTGCGGCTCTCTCACAGCAGAAGAGCCTGGACAGGGCGGGAAGGGGGAGAAAGAGCTCCATCATCTAATCCAGGCTGCTGACCTGTGCTTAGACGGTTTGCTCCTTATCATTGAATGTTGATAACAGCCTGCTGAATGAGATCATCTTCAGGATACATGCTAGAAAGATGTATGGCCTGGCCTTCTCCCTACGTCTTCAAGAGGTCAAAGCTTCAAACTAGTTCAAAGTTCACTGCTCCTCATGAAAGAAGGCAAGACCTGATAAAGATCCGACTTCCTGGTTGCTTGTTTGGATTATGACATAAAAATTAAATGTAAGACGATAGATATAAGACTGTTGAGCGTTCACTGCTAGTTTCCTAGTTTCTGCTTTGGTGGACAGGCAGAGTTAGGATGGCTAAGCAGTGGCTCCCAGGGACACTCCTCCTGACCAGAGAACTGCAGGCAGAGCCAGCCTAGTGCTGCATTGCTCTGTGTGGAGCCTGGGTTTCCCCTCAGCAGTGCTCAGAATTAGAAAGCTCAGCAGGAGCCTAGAGGCTATATAGGGCTCACCCTAGGAGTTGGTAGCAATCCAGACTCCCCCATTTGGATTCTTTCAAAGGTAGAGAGATTTTGAGTTAGGAACGAAGCTGTTCTCTGTGCTGGGGTCACAACAGCACAGCTGTTGCTCTACCTTTCGTGGTCATCCTAATTTTCTGTTTTGCTCTTGTCATTTACCCAATAAATGTCTTTCCAGAAAATCGCATCACATAGATCCACCAAGTCTTTTCCTTTGATGCTGCTTTCTGGTCCCATTTTACATGTCAATCCTCATTAACTTTTCTCTCCTGGCCCACTAAGCTATAGTCACACTTGGAAGGCCCTCAAAGATACACATGGATAGCTTGTCAGATGGCTATTCATCCACCATAACCACTAGATAATGGCTAAATTGTTCTCCTGGGGGTGGGGTTGGGGGCTGGGAAGTAGTTTTAATTAATTTCTTCTTTTATAGGAAAATAATTTATGAACATGTTATTTAAAGTTACTTTACACAAAAAGTACTATATGAAAAAACTTCCAGTTACCCTCAGGGATTAGATCCCTGTCCCCATTTCTGCTACTGAAAACCAACATTTTAAAGACTCTTGACTGTTCTTTGTTTTGCTTTTTAAAAACTTTTGGTTTTAGGTTTTTTTGTTTTGTTTTGTTTTGGTTTGGTTTTGGATGTTTTGTTTTGTTTTTTGGTTTTGATTTTGTTTTTTTGTTTGTTTGTTTGTTTGGGTTTTGGGTGTTTTCTTTCATTGGTTGTTTGGTTTCTATCTACAGTCATGAATTAAGTCCTGCATTGAGCCTGCTTCCTCTTTCTAACTTTAGCTGTCTTCTTGCCGATTCCCATTTCAGAAGGTGAAAACTGTCTGTTCCTCGCCTGCCCTCCCATGATTGTGTCTGTCACTATGAGTTTCTCAGTGTGTTTATGTCGTTGTTTGTTAGATCCCACTGGGGACCACGGGAAGCAGGCCCATGTCAGCATTAACCTGTCCTACTCTGGACAGCTGTGGTGGCTCCTGACACACGGCCTCCTGGAGGCCGTGTCATGTGTTGTGTGTGTTTCCCTGTATTGTATTTCCTATTTCCTAGATTTCATTTCTATCCCTTTTCTTGATTTATACTTTTCTTTAGTGAAATGCCTCTTGCCTCTTTAATTAATTTGGGTAAAAAAATAAGAATTGAAACCTTGATGGTGTCATTTGAAAACGTCACTAGTGGATCTTTCTATGTCATTGTTAATTGAATGTTATTTTCTTAATATTTTCTGAAATACATTTCAATTTATTGCTCCAGTTTTTCTAATGTATCTTTTCTCATTTTGTGTAGCCCATCTTTTCTTGTTCAAAGTTGGGGTCCTACGGTTCCTTCTGGTATCCCCTGTGTGGGTCACAGTACTTGTGTTCTGTTTTCAGTAGATTTCTTATTCTGGAGACACATCCACACACCTCGCCCAGCTACAAACCCAGCTATTGGCTTCTCTGTATGAATCCTACCTTGAGCATGGTCAGCTATTTTTTCCTTAAAAGAAATCTCCTGGACCCCCATACCCTTTCTCTTCCATCTGTTACATCTTAGAAAGCTCTCCTTCATGGGAACCAGAGCACCAGAGCTGTCTGTTCAGGGAAAACTGTTGTCACGTTTTGTCTTCTCCCAGAGGGCTGCATTTTGTGCCGTGCCTGCAGCAAATGAGTTAACACTGGGATATCCGGCGTGTTAAGCACGTGCTGTTTTGTGCTGGCGTTGGCTGGGAGATAGGCTGCCATAGTAGGTCCTGATTTCATAGATCAGGAGAAAGAATTGTATTGGGAGTCTGTTTATTCATTAAGCAAGTGAACTAGGAGGATGGTGGGAGAGTTAAGAGGGGGAGATAGTGTGAAGGGGAGGAGTCAGGTCTGCTCAGTGGAGAAATAATTTAAGGTTCCAGACTCATAAATAATTTGGTGCAGCCACCAGGCAAGGATAACATTATAAGGCTTTGAACGACTTCTCTTCGTGTTTCCTAGGTTCACTGTAGTTTTTTTTTTTTTAATCACTGTTTTAGAAAAGCATTTTTAAGCAATTGTGCTGACATTGCAGGGTGGTAGTTTAGCAGTCTGATGATATTTTTCAGGGACACACATTTTATCGATCCAAGCTTAAGAATTCAGTGAATTCATAAATGAATATAAAAGACAATTTCTTCAAACATGAGGATGTAGAAGTTTTTAGAGATTTTGAAGAAATAAAATCTTATGCGTTTCTTCCTTTTCCTGCAAGATGTAGAATGTATCAATACATTCTTAATTAATTAGTAAAATACTAAAGCTCCATATAATGTAACAATATTCAAAAAGAATTTGAAAGTCAGCAGCAACATATCAAACTGTTTAACATTACTTATGAAAAGCAGATCTTAATAAAACCAAAACATAGTTCTAAATCAATAACCAATGTTCATAAAAGGTGTTCAACATGGACAAGGCAAGATTGAGGTGGTGTGGCCACCTCTTAGGATATTATCACTACTGTCCAGTTCCCTTCTTTCTCTCTGTTCACCCTGCCTTTGTGTTCTGGGGTCTGCTATTTCCCTTTTGTGTGTGTTGTTGCTGCTGCATCTCTTGCCTGCTGTCTAGCGTCTGTCCTAACACTGATGCACCCCTCAGCAGTCACATCTCATGCCCGCTGTCTAGCGTCTGTCCTAACACTGATGCACCCCTCAGCAGTCACATCTCATGCCCGCTGTCTAGTGTCTGTCCTAACACTGATGTAGCACTCAGCAGTTGCAACCCTCTCACTGACTCCTTCCTCTGTTGTGAACGCTCTGCAGCAGGATTCCTCTCCTGGGTCTCAGCCCTGGCTGCCTGCAGAAAGGCTGCTCAGGTCTGCGCCAATGAACAGGGGACTGCGAAGCACTTCAACTTCCTCAAATTTAACATGTTTTATATACTTTTCTATAACAGCTTGAGATAAATAAAGGAAAATTTTGTGTTTTGTGGGGGTGTCCAGCTTTACATGTGACCTTAGTGTCACTGGCTGCCGCATGCTATATGGTTCAAAGCTCAATGATGCTTTCCTATGGGCACTTTTGTTTGCAGTGCCCCTCCCTGTGGGCCCTGTCTCGGTGACTCATTGCAGTACAAACACCTCTCTAATTGCTCTTTTGACAGACTTTGTCTTCAGGTCACTATAACCTTTGTCAATATGGATAACTTTTGTCACTGCCACTCTATACCTTGGAAGCCCAAAGTGTAAATAAAAGCCTATTTGAACTGTATGTTTAAGGTCAAATATTAGTCTCCAAATGCTAGAAGTACTTTGACTTTCAGCTGTGATTTCCTCGAGGGTTTTTGTGCAGCTATCACTGTGGATGCAATCCAAGGTTAATGTATAATCCAACTTTGATAATGAGTAATAGACCTAGAGCCAGTCAAATCGTAGTCTTCAGTAGTATGTTACTAAAACACTCCCTCCAATAAAACTGGGACTACTTTCTAGGCACCTTCCTGTAAAAGTAAAAATAGAAAAAGAATTGAGATGTAATCTTTGAGAGTCCAAACCAATCGTCAGCTGAAATGTTTAAGATAAGTAATTAGGTATTTTAATGAATATGGTATTTTATTCTTCGTTGAGAAATGACTTTGAAAATTGTTTTATTTTATACTTGTTGTAAGTGAAACGAAGCCCAGGTCCACACTTCTCGAGTTCACCATCATTCCTTATCTTAACCCACAGACTCCTTGAGCTGAGATATTAAACAGGAACAAATCTTGGAGATGAGCATATAGTCCAGGTATTTCCAGAATGCTCTTTATAGCCAGCCAAGCCACCAGAGTCACTGCAGTGAGGATGGGAAGGTGGGGGACAGCATCCGAGCCCGTGGTGCTCCTTCCTCATCGAGACCAATGCTTTGCCTGGCTGGGAAATTCTGCTTGGGTTTTAAGGAAAAGATTAGAGTTGCATTTTTGGTTGCCCACGAATTGTATGCAAAGACTGTTCGCCCAGCAAAGGTGCAGCCTTAGGAGCTGAGAGGGTGTGCAGGCTGGTTTGAGGCTGGGTTGTCCTGTCAGGCCTGTTCCTATCATGTGGTGTTGTTTGCATCTAAAGGATCTTCTGTCTTTTTCTTAAGCCTCCAGAGCGAAGCTCAGCATGATCAACACCATGTCAAAAATCCGCGGCCAGGAGAAGGGGCCAGGCTATCCTCAGGCGGAAGCGCTGTTGGCAGAGGCCATGCTCAAGTTCGGCAGGGAGCTGGGCGATGATTGCAACTTTGGTAAACAGCCTTTGTGGTTGGAAATTACAGTGCTGAGAAGAAGTGACTCTAGAGATCATTATTCAGCTATTTTATATTTTAATTCTCACTTTCAGATTTTACACATGAGGGCTAAAGGTGATTTTAGGATTGCTAATATCTAAAGTGAGTTGTCTCAGGGCTTTTGTCCTCTTCCTCTAAAGGGACCCCAGCCTTGACAACAGTTTTGGCAGACATGCCCAGATGCCTTGGCACTTTGCTGGGTATATCTGGCAGGAGCTGGGTTTGCAGACAGAGTGAGCAGTCACAATCAGCATGGTTTACCACCCTGCCACCTGGGCTTTCTCTGATTAATCCGCTGCTCATTTGTATGTGGTACCTGATTCTACTGCCCCAGGCAAAATACCATTTATTCCATCTGCTTTCTCCTCTGGCTCTCAGAACCCTAAGCACCTTCTGCCTTCAGCCCTCCCCATTGATGTGGGGTCTTTCTGGACCCTAGTTCTCCATGCTTGGTGTCTGCTTCTGCTAAAAAGCGTTGAGTTGCAACTGGTCTCACATTGCTGAGAACTAGCAGTAATCATGAAAGACAGTCTTCCAAAAGCTGCTCAGAGTAAAGCGTTGTGTTATTGGTAAGGAGGGATATTCCTCCTGGAAAGTGCTGTGGGGCCTAGTTGTCATATGGTCTGCAGGGAAACAGAAAAGCCACTGTTACTTTACGACCTTCATGGTCTCTCTCTCTCTGTCCCCGCTGTCATAGTAGGACAGAGACAGCTTTTACATTGTCAGCTTGAAGGCCGCTATTGCAAAGCCACCTCATCTTTGTTCTTCATGGCATGATGTCTTCACTTTCCCCTCTCAGGTCCAGCTCTTGGTGAGGTAGGAGAAGCCATGAGGGAGCTCTCGGAGGTGAAGGACTCTTTGGACATGGAGGTGAAGCAGAACTTCATCGACCCCCTTCAGAACCTCCACGACAAAGATCTGAGGGAGATTCAGGTCTGTGCAGTTTGTCTTCTCAGACCCACGCAGGTTCTCATTTGTTACTGGGTGGCACAGCAGCGGGCACATGAATTCCCAGCAGCAGCCCCCCCCAAGATGGAAGGAACCAGAGACGGAAGGCTTCAACCTGCTGTCAAAGCTGCAGCTCCGCTGCTCCCCCTGGGCATTGTATCCACTCCTCTCGGTTTAACTTCCTGGTTAAAACAGTATTGACACCATTTCTTTTCTACCTAAAAAAGTCCTTTATCTGGGAATTTGTAATTTGTTAACGTGAATGATGGGCTGGGCTGATGTGACCCTTAAATAGTAATTGTACTTTCTGTTAGCTTGAATAAGTAGCTACTATATCAGTCTTAGACACATTTTCCTGATTGTTGTTGGAATAGAGAAGAAATAACCACACTTTCTAAAGCACACAGAGCAGTCGAGCTATTTCTGATTAATTCACCTGGCTTTTCCTCTGACTGTGAGTTCAAATACTTTTTAAGAACAGTCCTGCCTAGGAGGAAACCAGGTAGCTAGGATAAGAGCACAAGCTGAGGATAGGAGACATGGCAAGGAGGGCTATGGAATATCACCCGTCTCTCGCTTCCCAGGCTTTACTACTCCTGACTGTTTTATCTTCTTCCCTCATCCATACACACTAGGAACAAGGGAAAGCCATTCTTTTCTCTTCCCTGTTAGTCATGGAATACTACAACTATTAAGGAAAACTATTGATCTTTAAGAAAAAAAACAAACAAACTTCTTAACCCAGTCCCTGAGAGACACTGGAAACCCCATTGCAAATGTGGGTAGGGATTGAAGCAGGTTGTGGGGAGAGCATTTGATGAAATCTCTTCCAAGGTTACTTGCAGTTTGCATTTGTGACTGAGTTGTCACCTGTCCATGGAGAGGTTTAAAGCTAAGTCGTCTGCCCCCTAAAAGCCACCTCTGTCAAAGGGGGCCTGTGTTGAGATGTGGATTCCTAGGCTCAGCCCTGTGTGTTCTGACTCAGGTAGTCAGGGATCTATATTCTCAATTGACACATTAGGTGATTTTGGTGAACTAGATTAGTCAAAAAAGAAGAGTATCATTTCTTCCATGTTTACTTCAGAGAAGGGGACTTTCCCCTGCATTCTCTTGAGGAAGGTGGCGTGTGGGCTCTTGTGTGGACCCTTTTCTTGAGGAGGAATATCTGGGACATGCATACTCACAGCCCCTTCTTGTCATTTGGAAGAGGAGGACTAGTTTAACTTGGCTCTGGCTCGGAAATGCCAAATCAAAAGGACACTTGTCATTTCATGATTCACTTCTCATTCTGAATTATTTGTAATTGTGCCAGTCCGCAGTTAACCCTTTGAAATGGTACCTTTCCTGATGCATGTGCCTATATTTTTCTGGTGAGATCCAGTATCAAACACAGCCAGACTCATTTTGGAGGCTACTCAGGATGGAAGGGAAATGAGGCACGAGCAGACCTTTTCCATAGGATGCCCTTTTGAAGCATCTTCTTGCCCTTACTTTTTCAGCATCACCTGAAAAAGCTGGAAGGCCGGCGCTTGGACTTTGATTACAAGAAGAAACGACAAGGCAAGATCCCAGATGAAGAACTTCGCCAGGCGCTGGAGAAATTCGATGAATCTAAAGAAATCGCCGAGTCAAGCATGTTTAATCTCTTGGAGATGGATGTAAGCCACTCTCCTCTGGATTTTCACTGAATTTTATCATATAGGCACAGCACTGATGCGTTGAAAAATACATCGCGTAACAAGCTCCTGTCTGGTTACACTGAGTGATGAGAGCACATGGATGCTTGCTTATTTTGAATCATTTGTTATAAAGTAGACATAGAAATGGCAAGTTCCTTCTTTATCTTGGAAGTTTGATTTGACCAGAACTTTGTATATTAATGAACTTTGTAGTATTACCAATAGTGCAGAGATAAAGAATGCCTATGACAACGACATAAAAATCCAGCATCTTACAAACTATAGTTTAAATATAAAGCATATTTACCTGCAGTTAAGAATGACAACTAAAGTGAATGGAGAAATTTGTATCCAAAATTATAAAAATGGCCAATATATGGAAGTGAGGTTGGCATTTTTGTTGAAAAAGACATACAAATTGAAATTGATGATTATGGCATAGGTACTATGTTCAGGCATGGTTGGGGTGGTTTCAAAGTTGTTTCTGCATCTTCAGGGTACTGAATTATCTCTCATGGCTTGAGACATTAAATTCTGTTGAGTTCTTCCAGCTGTGAAGATACCTGAATAGTCATTCTTTTTTCACACATGTAGGCATCAGAAAAGCCAGTCTTGCTGTCATAGTTTATATTCACCTTCCAACCCGTCAATTCAGCTGTGATGGTTGCAGGATTTTCCATACTCATCACTTGCATTGGCAAGGATCTTCAGAGAAAAGCACAGGGCTATAGATGAGGTAGTATAGGTGTTGTATGCTTCACTGGAGATCAGGTAGGAAAAGAAAATTCACCGTTAGGGAGATGATTGACGCTCATATGTCCTTCATATACCTCCTGGAATTTGGGGAGCCAGAAAAGTTGGAAACATTGTTTAGGCCGAGTCTAAAGGCTAAGAATGAATGCTGGTGATGGACTAATTCATTCTGTGGCCAGAGGCTAGAGAACCTAGCAGATGTAGAGAACAGGTCTTAGGGATGGAGAACTGAAAGTTCTGATGTCCAAAGGTCAAGAGAAATGGAATCTTCAGCTCCAGAAGAGAGGAGACTGAATCTCTTTCTTTTGCCGGTTGCCTTATTTGGACCCTCAATGGACTGGGCAGTCTACCATGTTAGCTATGCACAGCTCATTCTCGGTCAATCCTCCGTTTCAAATGCAAATCTAGTCTGGAAGCCTGGAAGCATCTCCACTGACTGGCTCAAGAGATCATGCTTTTCTAGCCTTTTGAAAATCCTTAAAATTAGCCATGTTGTCATTTAAAATTAGCCACCACATTACCTAATCGGTTTACCTCTTAAAAGGCAGGGAAGGCATGCTAAACACAGGTAGTCCTCATCATCTAGAGATTTCTACAGATGACTTTTGTCCTCCTCTAACCACTCAAGTGTAGGAAACTTGAATCAGTGTGTGTCCTTGTACCCTGGGCCTTCCTCCTGCACCCTCAAACTCCTAGGATGGCGTTCATTGCTCTTCTTGGCTTGGAGGCTGCTACTCAGATAGTTCTCAGCACAAGACTCCCAAAAGTTAGGCCACTTAGAATATTCAATAATTGGTTTTAAATGCCACTGGGATCAGGCTAAGAGGTCAAAAGATTTATTCCATCCCATGGTACCGAAGTGAGAAATCAATTTTCCTCTTTTTCATTACCAGCAGTCATTAGAATGTAAAGTGATGCTTGGATTTCATGTGGGCTGCTGCAGGCAAGAAGCAAAGAGTCCTCTAGTTACTCAATCTTTCTTTTATAGAATCTCAGTGAAAGAAGCTACATCCTATCCAGAAAGTTCATAGTTAAGCACAAAACTGCTTAGTGAAAGCAGTGAGACCTTCTCAAGGATACTCTTTGCTTCTCCTTATGACTCTACATGCAGGGTCCTAAGTATAAGGATGTCCTCAGATCCTAAATCAACTTAGAATTGGAAGAGCCATGTGTGGCCATGGCAGGTGGCAGAGTCATTGGCATCCCCAGCAGCTGGGCTGCATGTTGTACACTGCTTTAAGACCATAGCCTAGTAACTGAAGCGTGGTCTCCCCATCCTGCAGATTGAACAGGTGAGCCAGCTCTCCGCCCTTGTGCAAGCCCAGCTGGAATACCACAAACAAGCAGTACAGATCCTGCAACAGGTCACTGTCAGGCTGGAGGAAAGGTAAGTTACACTTCCCTGGGGTTCTCAGCTGCTGGAAAATGATGTGCAGAGAAACGGAACTGAAAGAGTATTTAGAGATGAGCTTCCGCCCATATCCTGGCTGATCCAGCATAGGCACCGCTAGCTGACTGCCTGATTTTATTTTGCACCGTTCCTTGTCTTGCTTTCTTCTTACTCAAATCCTGTGTTTATGAGATGCTGATGTATAAATTATATATTTGCTGCCATGGATGGTGCAGCAGAATTCTGTTGATCATAGCTCCTGGGATCTCCTGAGTAATATTCTGTATGGCTGCCACGCATAGGAACATTTTGAAAGAGATCTGTGGTCCTAACAGATGAGCGGCCCTGTGGCACTCAGGAAGATGATGTAATGGCCAAGGATGGAGCACACAGGCAAGCAGAGCCTGTTTGGAAGCCTGTGTCTTTTGTTTCTTGTTTTTCCTTAAATAATAACACAGCTGTCCACTTTCAGAGAATACTTCTTTCCTGTGCCTGTTCAGTCTCCTCGCAGTGAGCTGCACTAGTTTTTCTATGTGAACAGGACTCTTTTGTGTTGTGAGGTATAGCCTAAAAGTATGTAATACAGGTGTGCCTTGGCCAACATCAGATTGAATTATATTCTCATAAAGGAAAGGGGTTTAGTACCCCTCACCTCCAGAACAACATAGCTTAGCATTGAGTCTTCTGAAGACTGTACGTGCTCTAGACTGTGATTACATCGCGAAGCAGGACTTGTGGTGCCTGGAACTGTGAGAGGACATTACACTACATGTTACCAGTCTAAGAAAATACCAGAATGTGGAGTGTGGTTTCTATTGCTCAGGAATCCCTTACGCATCACTGTAGCATCAAAAGAATGTTGACGTGAACCGTCATAAGGCAGTGGCCTTAGTAATCATAATTTGTTTAGCCAGGTGACCTTATTGCTAACCAGGAACCTTACTATTCTTTCTTCATTTAGCTAGATAAAGGAGTATTGTTTTTTTTTTGCTAAATAATTACTTCAAAGGATTTTGTAGCAGCCTTTATTTTTAAAATCATGTCCAGAGTAAACTCTCCTGGGTGATCAGTGCCTGAAGTCCAGTGAAGGCTCCGGTCCCGTGCTGCATCCAGGAAGTGTAACCTGCTTTCCACTTTGTTCTAACTGGTCTTCCCTTCTCCTTAGAATCTTTCTTCTTCCTTCTTCACTTAATTTTTTTTTGGTATAAAATCTTCGATACACTTTTGTGGATGTGTGCCTAAAACTGAAGCATCTCTAATGGAAAGGCTTAAAATCCACCTATCGGAACACTACAGCAACACTCTGTGCCTCTCACATCTGTTGAAAACGAAGGGAATATGTTCCTTTTGTCCATATCAAACATGTTTGAAATAGGTATAATTCTAGAATTGCCGTACCCTCAACTTTCCACACCTTAAATTTAAATAGATGTGTCTTATTGAATAACTAAAAATGGGAACGATCTGGTGATGGGCAGAATGCACAGGCTTCCTCTACCTTTCGTGTCTTTATTCCTCCCCCACTGTGACCCCTGTCTGCTCACTCCTATCTGCCCATGACCATCCCTCCCACCCGACCTCCAAACCTTCTCACATCCTGCATGGAATAGCTTTCTTTCACGTATTCTTCTGTAGACCTGTGCTCTCCCTCCCAAAACTATTTTTCACCTTCTTCATGGATAAGTGACCTCTCCACACCTCTAACCTCGGCCCCATGTACTCCGAGCTCTTTGTGGAGGTCCTAGAATAACAACACTCTTGTCTGTAGGTCAGCAGCGCTCTCTTTCTTCTGCAGCACACGCTGCTTTGGGGCAGCAACTGTGTCTTGTGCACATTTATCTCACTGACCCTAACATGGTACATATTAGCATAAACTGCTCTGAATGCGCGAGTTGGAGCTTGAGAGAAAGAATGGAGACTGTGAGGACAAGGTGAAAGAGAAGCTTCCCCAGGAACACATTGCATGCCCCTGGGAGACCAAGGGTTCTCAGTACATTGTCCACTAGGTCCTAGCAGATTTCTAAGTGGGCCTGGAAGTTCCTGGAAATTACTGCCTTTCTGTTCACTTTTTAATTGGCTATATAATCCTCTGTCACCTCTTGTCTTTGTTATACAGAATAAGACAAGCTTCGTCTCAGCCCAGAAGGGAATATCAGCCAAAACCTCGAATGAGCCTAGAGTTTGCCACTGGAGACAGTACTCAGCCCAATGGGGGTCTCTCCCACACAGGCACACCCAAACCTGGAGGTAAGCAGCAGAAGACTACAGATCCCTTTTCCTGGGGCTTGGGCACACTCGGAAAATGTTGAGAACATTCAGAGCATCCCATTGTTTCCCCTGCACAAGAGCTGCACAGCAAGCCGCTCCTTGTGAGAGGATTGTCTGGTCGGAGCTTAGCTCACGGACATTGCTTTCCTTGCTGCACCATCCCACTTTCTCTCCCTTTTCTCTGAAACATTCTCAGCTTCGTGTTTCCTCTCATGTTCTAGTATCAAGGACCTTCCACGATGCTTAGTTATATTTTAGAGACAAGGTTTCTCTGTATAGCCTATGCTTTCCTAGAACTCACTTTATAGAACCTACTAGCCTCAGACTCACAGAGATCCACAGCCTCTGCTTCCCGAGTGCTGGGATTAAAAGTGTATGCCACCACCACCCAGCTAATACTTAGTTGTCCTTCACCTCTCAGCCCCCAATCTGGGGTTGTAAACGATGCCCTGATTTCTCCTTCCGGAGACAGAATGCCTATGGGCTGTGCACACACACACACACACACACACATCCCCTATCACCCACAGACGGTAGCTCCAGGAAGCATTGCCTGATTGTATCTGCAGATGGATAGATTACAAACCTCAACTCCTGCTGTGTTTTCTGTCTACTCTCTCCTGTAGACCAGTCCATCATTCTGTGAACTGTGGGCAGCATGAGGACAGCCACAATTTTCCCTCGGGAACATTGACTGTACCCACTAGTTCAGTCTCTCCATCACTGTTATCAGTCCCAACCTACCCACTTACAAATCAGACCCAGGTTTTCTCTTCAGGCATTTCCTGCTGTGAGATTGCCTAGGTTAGAGAAGGGGGAATCCGTCTGACCCTGAGTATGGACTTTGGGGATGTGCAGCTCTATCCCATTCTCCTGTGTCTCCAGAGACTGATTTACTGCAGTAGCAAACTCTTTATAGCATGCCGTCATGAAGAGGGCAAGAGGGTGAAGTCTGAGCTCTGTGCATAGCTCGGAGTGCCCAGTGTTACCCCGTGTGGGGCCCAGACAGCAGTGGCCCTGGAGTTCATCATGAGAATTATCTATGACTGCACTTCTCCTCACCCAGAAACAAGGCATATATTTAATTTTCCACTTGCTGACTTCTATAAATTAAAAAAAAATTGTATTGTTTGCCCTTTAAGACATCGAGCTAGTGTGGGACCCATAAGTACTTTCCTATATTTGTATTTGTGTGCATGCTATATTAATGTTTACACATTTAAAATAGATCCCTTTTAGGATACAGTCCATTTTTCATTAATTTAACATATAATATATATATATATATATATATATATATATATAACATTACTCTTATAGTCTGTGGCTCTTACACAAAACTCATGTGTGTTTATTACACACCAATTTACCAAACACAGACTATGATTTTTAAGGCTTTTATCATTTAATGACACAAACATTTAAGTTAACTTCTGTTAACTATAATTTTGGATGTAGAAGTCAATGAAATGCTCGAGCCAGGTCCAACAGAGAGAAACCCTGGGCCTAGGGCTTTCTATTGTTACCGCAGTTCTCAGTAATCTGGAGTTGTTAAAGAATGAAAGCTGAGGTTTTAGAATATTGTCTGTAGCTAATTATACTATTCTGAATCTGAAGATATTTAAAAGTACTAAGATGAATGGATTTGGCCATGTCTGTAATTAACCTTAATTTAATTATAAACTCTTAAGCCATTGTTTCCCCATCTCTCAGCATTATCAGGAAGATAAACCTGATGAACTCTGTTGATGGTGGGAGCGGTGGGCTGTGGCCCCCACTCCTGCACGGCTAGTTTTACCCAAAATGATTACATAGAAACTATATTCTTTTAAACACTGCTTGGCCCATTAGCTCTAGCCTCTTACTGGCTAACTCTCACATCTTGATAAACCCATACCTAATAATCTGTGTAGCACCACAAGGTGGTGGCTTACCGGTAAGATCTTAACTTGCATCCATCTTGGAGAGGAGAGCTATGGCGACTGGCTCACTTCGCTCTTTTCAGCATTCTGTTCTGTCTACTCCGCCTACCTAATTATCTGTCCTATCAGGCCAAGCAGTTTTCTTTATTAATTAACCAATGAAAGCAACAGATAGATACAAGACCCACCTCCATCAGACCTCTGTTATAATTTTCACAAAAATACATGTAACCATTATTTTCATAGTAAAAATAGCAACCAAGAATGTTCAACAACTCATAAAGCTCTACATACGAAAAGCTTTCCAAACATAGGAAAGCTGGTAGGAGACAAAGATGCCCTGGTAGTGGATGCCCAAGGAAGACAAGGATGAGAAGAGAGATGAGTGACTGGGAAGGGGGCAGAAAGCTGGTGGGTGGAGCAGGCAGTGTGTGCTGCTGGTTAAATACCCCGTGACTTCTTAATGTTCTCTCTGCCTCTGATTCTCAGGTGTCCAGATGGATCAGCCCTGCTGCCGAGCCCTGTATGACTTTGAACCTGAAAATGAAGGGGAACTGGGCTTTAAAGAGGGTGATATCATCACACTCACTAATCAGATTGATGAGAACTGGTACGAGGGGATGCTTCATGGCCAGTCTGGCTTTTTCCCCATCAACTATGTAGAAATTCTGGTCGCTCTGCCCCATTAGGATCCTATGCTGGCTGGCTCACCTCTTTCTGACCCAGATAGTTATGTTTAACCACTGCTTTGGTAATGCCGCTTCCAACACATCATGAGTGCAGGCCGCAGTGGATGAGTCACCAAGCCCACACGTGTCCTGGGTTGACCTGTGTGCTCCTACAGGAAACCCGGTGATAGACGGTATCTTCAGAGTCAGTGGGCCTGGCCTGTGCTTTAAAACACCTGGAGACTAGCCAGTGGTCCCAGAACTGCTCTTTACCCAGTTCTCAGGAGGCTGTGGTTTCTGATAATATACACATGAGCCACATCACAGGGAAACTCTCCTCATTGAAGATATTGTCTCTCACCCAGGGGCCCTCTCAAGGTCTCGTGTTCTCCATGTACAGAGGAGAAAATCCTTTCTGTTGCACTTTTCCTTCCTAAATGTGAGTCACAGAATTGTTGACAAAAACATCTCCCACCAGCAAATTGTCTGCTGGTCTAAGCAACTTGGGCTTTTGATGCCCTCAGCAGAAGTATTAATTGTTCAAAGCACTTTTGTTCTCCTACATCTATCTATCTATCTATCTATCTATCTATCTATCTATCTATCTATCTATCTATCTTCTATCTATCTATCTATCTTCTATCATCTATATGTATCTATCATCTCTATCATCTTTTTTCTATCATCTATCTATCTATCTATCTATCTATCTATCTATCTATCTATCTATTATCTATATCATCTATCTATCTATCTATCTATCTATCTATCTATCTATCTATCTATCTATCATCTATCTCTATTTATCTATCATCCATCTATCTATCTGTCTGTCTGTCTGTCTGTCTGTCTNCTATCTATCTATCTATCTATCTATCAATTATCTATATCATCTATCTATCTATCTATCTATCTATCTATCTATCTATCTATCATCTATCTATCTCTATCTATCTATCATCTATCTATCTATCTATCTATCTATCTATCTATCTATCATCTATCTATCTCTATCTATCTATCATCTATCTATCTATATATCTATCTATCTATCAATTATCTATATCATCTATCTATCATCTATCTATCTATCTATCTATCTTCTACTCCTACTTCTGAGACATGCCAGTTTTCTTCCCTCCCTGCTATTCAAGCACTGTGGAGGGTGTTTCCATTTATTTCTGAGTGAGTTGGTGAACATTCTGTATATTGTCTGAAAAGAGAAAATTCTCCAAGATGAATTGGGAAGAATCTGATGTCCAAGCTCAGATTCCTTGCTGTACAGAAGCTGTGTATATACGTAGCCCATTTCTGAAGAATACAGGAAGGGGGAACAGCTGTCTTCCCTTCTCTGTTTATTTGCCCAGAAATCAGTCCACTTCCTGAGTCCCTTTGCCACAAAGACATAGGAGAGAAACACTAGTAAGCATTTCCCACATCTTCATAGAACAAGACATAGTGACTGTCGCTCCTTCCCACTTTTATTCTGTTTGTGTTCCTTGAACATCATTTGTGTATATTCTGCCCTCAATGAGGACCAAATAAAGATGATTTTTGTGCTTAGCAGTTGAAGGTATGTGGCTGCATATAAAATCCCTTTCCCAACTTAGTCATTACTTTAACCCTTCTATTGCATCTTCATTTCTTGTGTGCAGTGCTGTGCAAGCTGATCAGTGTTGGGTTTTGTTCTGGTTCTTGTTCTCCCTTCAGTCGTGGAAGTCCCGTTAGGCACCCAGAGTTCTATTTATCTAGCTGTACAGGCTCTCTCTGAGGTTTAATGTGCTGCTTCTGATGTGCCACTTGCAGTAGTGGATCATGTGGAGTGAAAGGCAAATCTTCCTGCTTCATGTATGAACTATCCCATGGGAAGCATTGCTGTTTCCAATAAATGCTGCTGAAGACGAAACAGAGGGTGCTGCCTCTTCCTTCTTTGTCAGTTCCTTGGTCTGACAGTGGGTGGACTAAGACTCCTGTGGTCTCCATTGCCTGTGAATACAGCCAATCCAGACCTGGTCCCCACCTCCTCTCCAGCTTGTTGCATAAAGGGAAAGTTCCAGAAACAAGAGATGAGCTACTTTAGGCACTGGCAACAGTCATTCTAGGAAGGATATGAACTTGGGGGAGAGGATGAGGAAGAAAAGAAAGTCACATGACTTAACAAATTGTGATGTAAGCAGGAGAACACATTGTTAAAAAGAGGAAATAAAATATGTTGGCTAGACGTTTGGCTTTTTTTGTTTTTGATATTCCTTTATTTTAATTTCATGTATGTATATAGCAAAATATCATTTCTATCTCCTAGTCCCTCCTTCAGCCCCTCAAGTGTCCCCCCAACCTACCTTTCGACCAGCTTCAAATCTTTAAATCCAGTTAGTGTTACCGTGTGTGTGGGTATGGGACTGTGCACTAGAGCATGGGGAACCTACCAGTAGCCACACCTTCCAAAAAGAAGGATTCTCCCTTCTCTAGCAATTATCTACTGCTATTAGCTCCTCAGTAAGAGGTGTAGCCTGGAGATCACTCACCCATCCATGCAGAATTTTGGTTGGCTTGATCTTGTGCAGGTTCCCACAGGTGTAGAGAGGTCAGGCTTGAGATAATCTTATCATGTATTTCACAGCTTCCCCTACATCCTTGGCTCCTGCATTCTCTCTGGCTCCACGTCCACGATGTTTCCTGATGGTAGGTGTGTTAAACGTACATCACATTTAGGGCTAAGCACATAGTCTCTTATGCTTCGCAGTTTGATCATTGGTGATCTCTGTATTAACTACTGTCAACTGCAGCCAGTATTAAACATAAATATTTAGGAGACATTTTGACAGCATGACCATTGAGAAAAGTAATAATAATAGGTTTCAACCTAGGGCCTGTTACCTCAGCAGATACGGGTTTTTGACCACAATTAAAAGTACAAAGCATGAAATTCCCTCCTTTCGAAAAGGCCTCAGTTCTAATTAGAAAGTGATTAGTTGCCCAATGACATTGGTACCACCGCCGCACCACTGGCACATCTTGCCTGTAAACTGATATTACATCATGCAGGGCCCATCACTTCATAAGGCCACTGATGTCCTTTCTCCTCTGGAAGGCTGAATCGTACCTTCTGGCACTGAGAAAGCTAGCCAGAAGAGAGGAACTCTGCATGCCAGCTTGAGATGGATTTTTTTTTATGTATTGCAGACAAAACTGTGCTGTGTCTTCAGCAATAGAGTCTGACTATGAAACTATGGTGAACAGCCAAGGACAATGAATTGTTTTGGAGACCCTTGGGCCTTCATGACCAATATCTTCTATGCACTACCCTGTGCCTTGTACTGCAATTTTCACTGGTTAACCCATGTCTTCTGGGAGTAACATTGTCCATTCATGTGGGGTCATTCTCCTGTTCCCAGCATCACTTAATCCTTTAACCCTCAATATTCCCCCCTTTTATTTTACATGTGCTCTACTATTTTTCCACTTATATTTTAAAAGCTGGGATGTGTTTTTGTAGGCTTCTATATGACATATAATGTCTGCTTCCTTTGGGTGAGCCCTCTCTTTCACACCCCCCCCCATTTCTCCCATGCTTCCATGTCCCCTCCTGGGTAAGCAAGCCATTCTGTTCCCTGTATTCTACCTCACTATTTTAATTTTACCTGTAATACTTCTCTGTACTTTGCTTCTAAAGCTATGCATGACAAAAGTGTTTATTCTATGCACGTGAAATTGCTAAAAATTGCTTTATTTAGTAGACTCCATTTGTTTATTTATTTATGGGGTATGTATGTGTCCACATTCATGTGTTTGCAAGTGTGTGGGGACCAGAGGTTGGTGTTGGGGTTCTTCCTTAATGGTTCTCCACTTGATATTTTAAAAAAGATGGTCTATCTCACTGTCTAGAACACACCAGTTTGGCTAGGCTGTCTGAATGACAGGCTAGCTAGGGGGTTCCAGGGATTTGCCTGTCTCCACCTCCCCAGCCCTGAGATTATGTGCGTGTGCCACAGTGCCGACCTCTACCATGGGTGCTTGGGATCTGAACTTAGCTTAAAATATACAGTTTATACAGTTATAGTAAAAGGTAATATGGCTGAGGAATGCTCAGTTGGTAAAGGTTTGTTATGTAAACATGAAGACCTGAGTTCTACTTTTAGCACCCAGGTAAGATGTCAGTGTGGTTGCACTTGTGTGGCATGCCGGCACTAGGGAGGTAGAAAGTGAAGAGCCCACCAGGCTTGAGTCCCAGTGAAAGACGTATGTCAAAAAATAAGGTGGACAGTTTTTGAGGAGCAGCCTCTGAGGTTACCTCTGGTCTCTATATGCGTGTCCACACATGCTCATAAATACCTATGTGTGCCCCCCCCCCCTACACAAAGAAAGTAGATGCCCAAAGAATGACACAAGGTTAACCCCTGGGGTGCCATCACACCGCACACACATGAACACACTAGCATTTTAGAAAATGGCAATTGTGACATATTAATTGATTTAAATATAGTATACAGATAAAGCACTGTAATTTAAACTTGATCTGTGGCATATATAAGCAAACTTGTTTATACCACTGCCATAACCTGCCAAGTAAGCCACAGTAACACCTTTATTTGCTCCCATGCGAATGCATTCTCTCAGACCTCTCAGGACAAGGCAATGTTCCTATTTTTATTTGGGGGAGTAATTATTTAAATGTTTCTACTTATTAAATATATTCTTTAAAATAGTCCATCACTCTAGGAAACCATAGAGTAAACAAACAAGGTAGTTCCTAGTAAATGCATTCATCTTGAAAGCCAGCATTGGGCACATGGTTTTTGTACAAGATCCATGCTTAATTCTGTGGTCAGGAGACAACAGGGATGTAAAGTCGTAAGTACCTTCCTAATTTTACAGTATGGAAGTGTGGACCACGGCATGTGTCCAACTAATGCCAAAGAGGTATTAATTCTTTTTGCAATGGACCTTTGAAAATAATTTTGTTGTGAGGCTAATAATATAAAAGTATTATTTACCACACACAGAATAAGAGACAGTTAATAATTCAAATTACAAAAGAAAACCCACATGCTTCCCATTAGGAGGGGAAATGGCAGCAATACTTTAACAGTGTCTTATATAAAATTTCATATTGATCAAAGTTGACCAAAACTTAAAGTGTAATTTTGCATGCCTTTAACTTTGTGGCATCTTACAAACTCTTGACAATTTTTCAGATACAAAGTTAGCTGAAAATATCTACCAGTAGCAAAGAGCCATCAGCAGCACAACACAGTGACAAAGTCAGATATAACAGGGACAGTACATTGCCTACATACAACAGGCGTTCAGAAGAGCTGTGTGCACCCCAGCCATGATCCAGCCAGCAAAACCTCCCTTCAGCTTTAGGAGATGCAGTCATGGGAAAGTACCTATGGAGTCTTTTTGTAGCCCCAAGGGGGAACTAACAGCCAGCCTCTGCACAAAACAGTAATCTCACTCTGAGTCAGTGTCAAATGGTGAGAAAACAAAACACACTGTTCCCTGATTTTCCAATTACAGTTTTCTTTGTGTTCACACATCAACTAAAACTTTCAGAAAGCTGAGGGGAATGTAGGCACCTTTTGCAGACCCGAGAATCCCGCTTCAGT